TCAGTACAGCAGCGGGAACCTCCTCCTCCTCATCCTCCTCCTCTGGCAAACGCTCCCATTTCCTCACCGCCTCAGGAAGGGCGCGGGGGTGACGGTTGGCGCCCCCTCTTCCTCGGTGCGCCGCGTAGCGCGAGGAGCGACGCCCGGCGCGAGCGGCAACAGCCCCTGTACCTGACCTACTTTCCGCCTGGCTTGCCACTGAACGTCGCACCACTAACCTACTTTCCAACCAATGGCTTCTCCCCCCGCAACGAGGCCCGGCCCGCCTCCCGGCCAATCGCCGAGCACCTGCGCTAGCTCCCTCAATCCCAGCCCCCGCCCCCTCTCCGCGGTCCAATCGGGAACCCAAGAGCTCCCTCGCGGCCTGCCTTTCGCCCCAACCGGCCAATCCCGGACCATCTGGGTCGAAGATTGAAAGGAGCTGGGAATAGGGAAGGAGAGAGAGAGGGAAGTAAAGGTTCCCACTTGCTTAAAGGATTCTAAACAAGTCGAAGGGAGGGGGCGGGGGAGAGTTGAAGGGAGAGCGCGAGGCTGCGGGAGGCCGCGCGCGCCCATAGGCTTCCTGCGGCGGCCTGTAGTTGCTCCGGCTAACGGTTGCGTAAGGGACTGTTTGGGACTGGTGGGACCCGGATGTGGCGCTGCTGAGGCGCTCCCCTGCGCGCGCGCGCGCGGTGCTGTCGTCAAGAGGAGGCCGCCAGTGGCCGTTAGGGAACCCCGGCGTTGCCTAGGCGACCGGCCTCTTTCCTTCTCTCGGGTGGGGAGGGGGGCCTTGTGAGGTGAATGGGACACAAGGACCCTCTCAGAGGCTTCCTCTTCCTTCTTCTTCTTCTTCTCATCCCTTCGCCTTTGCGTCTGCCACGCTGCAGCGTTAACGCGGTTTGGCCCCCGCTTTAACTGCCGTGGCTCCATCCTATGGATTTATAGTTTGTTTGTGGCACCAGAGCTCTCTGGCATTCCCTTCTCCTTCTGTGTCATGCCTTTTTAGATTTCAGAGATGTAACCGTTTTAGTCTGTGGAATCAGTATGTAGAAAGAGATCTTGTAGCACCTTTGAGACTAACTGAAAGAAAGAAAGAAAGAAAGAAATTGGCAGCATGAGCTTTTGTAGACTTCAGTCTACTTCTTCAGATGATGATGATGATGATGATAATAAATTATTTATAGCCTGCCCAATCACAAGGAATCTGGACGGGTTACAACAATAAAAGTGCATGGAATCGAATAAAATTCAAAATTAGTCCCTTCCCAACCCCCACCCTCATACAAAAAGA